AACAAAATAGGTCATACTATATTAGAAATACTGACACATGACAGCATTTTGACTAGGATAATCACAACACACAGTAGTTTAACAAAGACTGTACACTCTCAGAAACTGCTACTCTTACAGTATATGTCCAAATCAAATATTAAGTGCAAGTGCGCATTCAACATTGTTTCTTTACAAAAGCGTGCATAGATTCCTTCACTGGCTGGACAAAGTCCTTCCTTGCTAATTACCATACTGAATCTGTCGACAAATAGTCAAATATAGATTAGATCAAAATAAGTTTGAGTTGAGAACCCATGCTAACCGGTTTATTTTTACGTAATAGATTTTAAAAGAAATATTCTATCAGTGTCAAAGGAAAAACACCAAGAAAAATTCTTTTACTTCTCCTTCAGATACTATTATAATTTCTCTTTATTTTAAAATCGGTATTTTGGAACTAAAAGATAAGCTTCATGCTTTGTATTTATCTTGATATTGTTACATATTGACGACGTCAAAGTTAAATCTTTGATAGAAAAAAAAAACCATCAACCTACCCAAGCTTACGCACGTATTGTCTAGATAAATCTCATGAGTACATTTGTTCATGTACGATGTATCAGAGCTTTGCAAAATAGATATTCCAAAAGGTTGGGCCAAATACGCATAATGCCTTCAAAGTTAGGGGCAGAAAAATCTCAGTAATTTGAATAATATCATCATTTTATATACAACAAATTTACAGAAAATTAATGCATCATTGCTACACTATTCGGCTCATAATACCTTTGGAGACGAATTGTTCACCAACAGTACCATCAACCAGTGGTCGTTAAAAAAAGATACCATGCTGATAATTTGGTTGGCAATATACGCGTTTCTTTTACACATGACACATGAATGGCACTCGAATCAAATATTTGGAAGGCCAAATCAAATACGAAGTTGAAGAGAACTAACAACTGAAAATTCCGAAACGAAGGGACAAAGATGACTATGCATATCTACGCCAGGGGGTACAAATACTTTAGGTTTTGAATGATTTTTTTTAATAAACAGCAAATTAAAAGAAAATGCACGTATCATTGACATTTCATGTCAACACCAAAGTGCGGACTACTGGTCTGGTGATAATCCAGAAACTGGCTTGCGTTTCGTTTACATACGAATCATCAGTGGTGTTCAAACCAAAGCAGTTGGAAGACAAACTCAACAAACGCTGCTCAAGATATAGAAAACCATAAAGGCGGAAATGATTGCCAAATACGCTTAAGGCTATCTATGCAAGGGGGTAGTGTTTCAAATCAACATTTCATAAACAATAAGTTTACGAAACATAACCGTATCATTGATATTCCACACAAATGTCCATCGGGTCATCAGTTGTCACAAACGTGGTATGTTCTTCTTAACAATTGTTAAATTTCAAATGGTGCTTATGTATCTCAATTAATGCATCACACTCATGCATTTTCAAACTATGCGGATATCATTGACAGAAATGTGCTCCCGACACTCAAACTGTATCAAAAGAGTAATGAGGAAGAACGACTAAAATCTACATTTCATAAATTTTAGGGTTCCCATAACGAATTAATTAAAATATACGGCGAGTCTTTGTTTTAACTCATTAGTGAAATATTTTCGAGGTCTTCGATTTCTAAATATCAGAAAAGTCGTCTGATATTTATATTACCCATGTTTGTCTTATTTCCGATTACTAGTATAACATGACGATTCAGACGATCCCCTCAGTTTTTTTTAAACTCACCAAAATTGACAAAAAGACCCTGGTTAATGAAACGATGAAATTGATTGAGTATGGATGATAGAAGTAGAAATTGTAGGGAAGATTTAGTTAGGATTGAACATTTCGGATCTTTAAAATTCCACATCTGATTGACACTGTTGGATGACCTTATCTTTTCAATTTTAGTTTTACTAATGAACTGCCCCGTTTGACCTTCAGTCATTTGGGGAAAACGCTTCATATGACGTAAACGTTTCATTTACTCTATTGCAAAACAATCATCATTACGTTTTGGTCTAGTGATTAAGATTATCTTTTAAAGATATGTTTTACAATTCGAATTAAAATCAAGAAGTTTTTGCATATGAACAACTGAAATATGACTTTACAAAGGGTTGTGATTGCGCGTCAGTGTATATAGTCCTATTTTCAAGCCAGATAAGAGTTTAACACATTCAACATATATAATCATTTCATTCAACATTGGCAATTTACATGACAGATAGATACTCTTATGGATAAGATATACTTTATGACTGTAGAAAATATTCTTAAAATCATTCTGCTTGATATATTAATGTGCTAGTTGTAGTATAGCAAGAAATGCATATTGCTTTTCCAGAAGATAAACAGAAGGAAAGTGCGCAATTCATGCAAAAAAAAAAAACAATTGGCAAAGCTGGAAGAGAAAATTTTCCGATGAGATGACAAAGTATATCGTCGTATTGCCTTACTCCTCTTATTTCTCCTTTAAGAATGCCCTTAAAAATAAAAAGGATTTCACATGACTAAGGGCTCAACTGCTGGATAGATACCAGCAGTTGAGTCCCTTAGTCATGTATATATGATGAGTTTATCTAAAACTGAGAATTGAAAAGGGGAATGTGTCAAAGAGACAACAACCCGACCAAAGAGCAGAAACCAGCTCAAGGCCACCAATTGGTCTTCGACACAGCGAGAAAATCACGCACCCGGAGGTGGGCTTCAGCTGGCCCCTAATAAAATGTATACTAGGTCAGTGAAAATGGACGTCACACTTAACTCCGAAACATATAAATGAACTAAAATTAAAAAAACATACAAGACTAACATAGGCCACATGCTCCTGACCTGGGACAGGCGCAAAAATGCGGCGGGGTTAAACATGTTCTGTGAGATCTCAACCCTCCCTTTATACCTCTAGCCAATGTAGAATAAACAAACACACGGCAATACGCACAGTAAATCTGCACAATTTAAAAAAATAAATACTTAAAAATTGCGTTTTAGACCTTTTATTTGTTGCTGTGTATCATAATTATTATTTCGTTTAAGCATATATCAGGCCATTGCTTTTCCTTTTTTTTTTATTGTTTTCAGTTGTCAAAATGATCAAAGCAAGGAGAATGTTGATCGCTGAAAAATTTTTTTTAACCCCGCTGCATTCTGTATGTTCCTGTCCAAAATCAAGATCATGTAATTCAGTTGCGTGAAGATCTATAATTGCTAACATCTATATTATTTTTACTCTGTTGGATAGATGTGTTTTTATGATGTGTTTTTTTTTTTTTTTGCAATCATACTAAATCTCCTTATTTGATATTGACAAAGATGTCCAAAACAGAAAAAAAAAAAACAGAAAAAAGGAGATTTTGATCTCGAGCATCATGGAAGAAAAATTTATTGTAGAATGCTCATCAGGTGCAATATAATTAGTGCCATTAATATTATTCATTCGACATTAAGAATCTAGTATTCTTCTTTTAATTAAGGTAAACATTTCACTTTAAGTATATACAATCTATTTGAACTGTCTTTGACATGTACTGATTTGAATTAATCTTCATTGTTGTAGACTCTTAAATTATGTGCATGAAATATGTACTATGCTAGTAAAACACATATAACTTTATGTATAAAGGCATTTGTTAAAAGATTCTGCCATGTGAATAAAACTTCAATACAAATAGGATCTAGGAAGGAAAGGTTAGAGCGTTCGTAACATCGCACAAAAAGTTAATCGGTAATTAATCACATCCATCAATATATGAAGTATCTGACTATCATTTGAACAGCTTTCCAAAAGATTATCCAGTGCAAAAATATAGTGGTATTCTAGAATATCACTCGAAGTTTCTTGGAAATGGCAAGTATTTGTCGTCATGAGGTGCAGCTAAAATGTCTCTTTAATCGTTTTTTCAGACAGTAGCTGTACAAGGAAAGGCATTAAAGGAATATGGATCTGTATATGGTATGTTTCATTACAAAACCACGATCCTGCATTATTCTTCTATTTATTGAACATTAATGTATTAAACATTTATTTTTATATTTGCTTAAAATGATTACCAAATTTCGATCAAACATCATCATGTTTAAAACTACAAACTGATCAAATAAAGGGTCAGATATTGAAAAAGAGATATTCAAGATATTGATAATGTTAACCGAATAAACTGAAAACTTGATTGGGTAACAAGATGTTTGAGTTTTTAAAACCCCTGAGTTGAGTTCACTACTGGTGTACGCTTCGCCACCGACGGAATTACCAGCCTTGTATTAAGCACTACTGTGTTAATATGAAGTACGACGACAAGGGTTTTTTAAATGACCTTGACTACCCATGAGGGTCTTGCACGGTCGGACTAATATGAAGTATTGTTGATGCCGTAGTGTCATGTAAAACCACTCTTCATGAAATGTTAATTTCACCCGCAACACAATCGCAACACAATAGTTTTGGTGTTAGCTATATGCATATATAGTCTTTTTGATTGCTTTGTTTAAATGCTTTCGTCATTGATTCTCTCTCCAACAATTTGAAAAAAAAGATCTCATTGAAGATACCAGGCTTTTAATTGTGCACTAGAAATTTTGTATGCATGTTAGATACGAATATTTAATTACTACCACGGGGTCGATATCACTGTAAGTGGTCACTGTTGGTTGGAGATTTGTTTCCACGGGGCTTTATATTCTAAGTAACTTGCATTCCTGTGTTGACATAAAATATCATTAATGTTATCATGTTCTGTATTTTTACTGTATAAAATGCTGATTTTGCACAACAGTTTTGAAGTTTGGCCTGATCGATTTAATCTTCCAACGGTTTTGATTCAAACGATATCGAGATGTCCTATGTACACGAAGCGCATGTCTGAAGTGTGGTATTTTCACGATATTTTAACCTTGTTTCTTCCCTTTTTACTATTTTTATCACTTTTAATTCACCTTGTCGTAAAAAATCTTTTTTAGACTCTGATGTACACGAAATTAAGCTATGGAAGCAGGACAGTATATATTTTATAAAAACAGACATAGTCACAGATATATTTAGAATATTAGAAGACCATCATCGTGTACTTTTGACAGGAGTTTCCGGAATGGGAAAGACCCTGACTGCAAAGAATATATCATTGCAGTTAGTTCATGAAAATCAATATAGCATAGTGCCATGCATGTCTCTTCAAGATATAACAACACGCTAAAAAGAAAATGTTCGTCAGGTGTTTTTTGTAGATGATATATGTGGAAAATATACAACAAATCTCAATATAATTGAAAACTGGAGAAGCATTAAGAATAGGGTAAAAAGTATTCTAGATAAGGGCATGACAAAAATATTGGCCACCTGTCGTACTGAAGTCTTTAAAGAAGAGATATTTCAGCACGCATTTGATTTATTCCATAAGAATGCGTACAATTTATCTGACCATTATTCAGTTAAAGACAAATTAGTCATTGCTAGCAAATACCTTGAACATAACGACCAGATGTTACCAGAAATTACAGATATTATAAACAAAAATACGTTTTCCCCACTAATGTGCTTCCTGTTTTCTCGACACAAAAAATTTGATATCAATGAGTTTCTCAGCAGTCCGTACGATACATTTTGTACAGAATGGGATAATCTAAAATCGGTTGACACAGAGAAATTTTGTGTTCTATTACTATGTGTAATTTATAACGGAACAATTAATGATGTTATTCTGGATATTTCAAACGAGTTGGAAAAAGATGAAAAAAAGAAACTAAAAGAGATTTTTGAATGGTGCAAGTTAAACCGTGGCACATCTCGGTTAGCAATTCAAGCCAAAATGAAGGTCTGTATTGACACTTACTTTATTAAAGTAGACAGGGAATACACAGTTATTCATGATAAGATGTTTGACTTTCTGTGCTCTTACTTTGGCAAAACACTACTCACCCCTATTCTCAAATATGCAGATGATAAAGTCATATGCGAACGTGTACAACTAAAGTCATTACAGAAACCACATGGATATTTTACAATTATGGTCTCAGAAGATGATGAAGAGAAAAACAATGATAGGATAAAAACTGACCTTGAAAATGGAAAGATACATTGTTGCTTGAACCATGCGCAAATGAAATATAAGGAATACAGGATTAAGTTTCTAGATATCATTAAAAAATTAGAATACAACTTGATAACGAATTTGATTAATAGTAAGGACGACAATGGGATAAATTCCTTCATTATTTCATGCTTGTGTGGTTATGATGAGCTTGTTGCTTTTTTTATTTCTGTAGGAGCTGATGTTGATTGCCAAAATGGATTTTTTACACCATTAACAGCAGCGTGTCATGATGGACACTTAAAGACGGTTGAAATTCTACTTATTAAAGGATCGAATATAAACCAAACAAATACACATAGAGAAACACCACTGTATACTGCTTGTTTTGGAGGCCATTACTGTTTAGTAAACCTTCTCATAGACAAAGAAGCTAATATCAACAAACCAAATAAATATAGTCGCACACCCTTATACGCATCGTGTTTGACAGGCCATGAAACCATAGTTAGCCTTTTGATTGATAATGGGGCAAAAGTTTCCCAATGTAAAGATTGTCTTATAGTTGCCTCTTTAGGGGGCCACGACAAAATAATTGAAAAACTGCTTTTAATAGGATGCGATATAAATAGTGTCGATACGAAAGGGAAAACCGCCTTATGTATTGCATGCGAGGAAGGCTATACTAAAATAGTGAAGTTGCTTATTGATAATAATGCTGACATTTTAAAAGTCGACAGTGATGGCAAGACGCCTCTACATGCCGCATGTTGCTTTGGGAACAACGAAATAGTCAGCATGTTGATTAGTAACGATTCAGATGTGGACATGATTGATGTAGATTTTGAAACACCTTTACACAAAGCATGTAGGAAAGACTCTATATACGTTATACAAACACTGTTGAATTATGGAGCAGATGTTCACAAGCTAAACAAAGAAGAACATGCCCCTATATATTTGGCAAACACAGAGGGAAACATTGTTGATGAATGCATTTTAAAAGCTTTACAGAAAAAAGAAATAAGACCAAGTAAAGGGGAAAATATAACACAAAGTCACAATAATGAATTTCAGAAACAAACAAATGTTATTACCAACAATTTGATTCGGTATGGATGGACACCTTTATATGAAGCATGTGTTCACGGAGACATAGAAACTGTCCAATCACTCATCCGAAACAGGGCAGATGTGAACATGAAAACTAAATCCGGTGAAATGCCTTTGGTTGCTGCTTGTCAACAAGGCCATGGTTTCTTAATTCAATTGTTACTAGATGAGGGAGCTGACGTTAATGAAGCCTTGTGTTGTGCTGTTCAGAACGACTATGATAGAACGATGAGAACTCTTTTATATAAAGGTGGAAAAATTGGCTATAAAGGCGTTGATGAGAAATCGCTCCTGGCATTGGCCTGTGAACAAGGTTCAACTAAGGCAGTCAAAATTCTTTATGAAAAAGGTGCGGATTTTAAAGAAATAAATGTAAATGGACAAACTTTGTTACACTTAGCATGCAATACAGATAGTGTTGATTTAATACAGCTTCTAATAGACAAGGGTTTAGATTTTACCATACATGACAAAAGCGGAAGATTTCCACTTTTTGTGTCATTAGTTAAAAAGTTTTATGATTTATCAAATTTTCTAATTAAAAAAAGTTGTCCTATAGCGATATCAGAGGAAGACACAAAAACAGCTTTGATATCAGTTTTGGAGAGTGGAAATAATGAACTGTCAAAGTTGCTTGTATCAATCGGTTATACAGAAAACTCATTGCACTTGAGTGAAACTATGTTATATTATGCGTGTAGGTTAGGTCTGCGTGAAAAGGTTGCGATTCTCCTTAGAAATGGGGTTGATTTAGAAAAAAATACAAGTATGGATACACTCCGTTGATATTAGCAGACATTAGTGGAAATGATGATGTATTGAGTTATCTACAATTGTTAATATGTGGAATAAGGAATACTTCATTTTCCAACGATAGTACAAGAATTTGTATTGGACCGATGCATGAATATGAGACTGAAACTCACTATTGTTTGAGCTTGCAAGAGTATGAATATCTGTTCCAAGCATGTATGAACGGAGTAGTAAATTCGGGCTTATATGAAATACGGTTCATGCTCACATACACTGGGTTTGATTTTTTCTTCAAACCGGGAAAAATCCATGTATCTAATTGGTTTGAACAAACACCGTTGTGTTTAGCAACTAGAAGAGGACATACGAAAGTAGTCAAATTCCTAATACAATGTGGCGTAGATGTAGACTTGACTTTTGAAGAATGGAGAACTAAGAACGATGTTTCCTTATCCATGACTATTCGATATGGATATACTCCATTGTTTGCAGCATGTCAACGAAAATATTATGAAATAGTTGATATGCTTTTAGAGGAAGGAGCAAATATAAACAAAGCATTGTATGACGCATGCAGAGAAAGTTACTTGGACACTGTTAAATTTCTTCTACAAAACGGAGCTACAGTTAATTCAATTGGTCGGTTTGGTCAGACAGCTTTGTATGGTGCGTGTATTGGTGGATGTAATAGCATAGTTAAATTCCTGATCGATCAAGGGGCTAACATCGAAACAAAAGTTAAACGAGCAAATGTTCTGGACGAAACCACATGCTTACATGCTGCATACCTTTGTGGTAATCGTGATATAATTCAACTTTTAATAAATAGCGGGGCTTCTGTTGATACAGTTGGTAACTTTGGGCGAACTTTGCTGCATAAAGCGTGTAGAGAAGGAAACTATGAAATTGTTAAAATACTTATTGATAAAGGGGTTGATATAAATGCATCTGACATGTACGGCGTTACACCTCTCATAGCGTGTGTATTACAAAATATTGATGATAGTCATGTGGAAAGAGAAAGTATTCCTCAAATGAGAAAATATGAAGATGATTTCGATCAACTACATGAAGATTATGTTCATCAATTGAAGAAATATAAACCATCTGATTTTATAGCGAAATACAATGTTCTTACAGAAAATCACTATAAAGTGATTCAACTACTTAAAGAAAATGGGGCCAGCTTTAATAAGGTGGATCAGGAAAACAGGGCATCATTTTCTTTATCATGGAAGATCGACGATTTGAAATATATTGGATTTTTGTTATCTCATGAGTTTTTACCGATAAATCATCACAACTAAATAAGAAAGTTTTTAAATCGTTGATTCCATACCCGCAAAACCAAGACGGAATAATCCTTGTAACTTAAATGTCAATCAAATCGTAATATACAAGCCGGAATCCTGCAATTTTGCTATTTCTGTACATTGTCTCTCACGATCTTAAATATGGTCTCGAAGTACAAATATGACCGTTATATGTTGTTATATCATGCAGCATAGTTAGGTGCATACTATCGTGAGTAATCTGAATTCTGAATCTTTTTAACACATTACTGTTTTAAACTTTTAACTTTTATTTACCTGTGGATAATGAACGTGAAAAGACATACATGAACGTGGCATACATTGTATTTGTATTTTATTATACCAGTATACATCAACTAGTACGTGGAAGATATGTACACTTAACCTTTTATTTCAATGATTGATAAATAAAAATTGTTATATTTCAAACGATAAACGTATTTTTAACCTGAACAAATATCAGCAATTTAGTTATGATCCTATCTTTTTTTTTAAGTTTTGTAATTTTATTACTAGACAATGACCGTAACGGTTATACAAATAGTTGATAGCAAATTTAAATCTTACGAAAAAAATTCTTATTAAAAGAGATATACATGTATATTAATCACCCTAAATGCAACTTGTGTATTATGTATATAAATTATTTATTGTTAAAACATGTCCAAATCCGTATTTCCATTTTGATTTTAATAGCTTAAAACTGCTTTTTAAATTGCATCAGAAATACAATGTGTGCTTTGTATTTCTAATTAAAGCTCTATATTAGTAATTGTGTTGATACCTTTAGTTGCGTTAAAGAGTCGTTTATCTTTATGTTTTTATGAAAGTCTATATAACATATTTTGTTCGCCTTTAGTGGGAGGGGGTCGAAGGTTCGGTTGTGTCAAACCAAATACTCTTAACTCTTAACTTGCTGTTTGCTGCTTCTACGCTTGTCTTCTTGTAGATTGTTGCCTTATGAAATATCACCTTTAAAATCAGGAATAGCGTATCAGTCTTGTACAAAAAAGGATTATCATATTCATATTGTATTAACCTGTTTTCGTCCTGAATATGCTGTTAATTGCCATAGGACATGAAATATTCATCTATTAATCAATCTCCCTCCTGTATAGTTGAATTGAAATAGATTTTGTAAAAGCCCTTTTAACTCATCATTATATCTCTTAACGTATTCAGATACTTTAACACCCCTGACTTACAAATATTTGGGTTTATATTGGTCCCAGTTTTCAAATCGTGGTCCAAAATTAAAATTTTTTTGAATTCAACAAAATTGAATATATGGGGTTCTTTGATATGCTGAATCTAACTGTGTATTTGGATTTTGAATTTTGGACGCCGTTAATAAATTGACCTACATTGAGGTCCAAAGGGTCAGAAATTTAACATTGTTTCATTTCATCAAAAATTGGATTCCTAGGTTTCTTTGGTACGTTGAATCTAACCATGTATTTAGATTTTGGATATTGGACCATAAAAGGTAAATGTCTAATTTCAATTTTTTAAGTTCTTAGAACTCATTTATTCTGTAGCAGAAACTATGCCATGTGAAATATTTAATCACAATTCAAATTGAGAGCTGTATTGCACAATTCAAAGAAATAGTAAGTAGAGTCATAGTTAAAAATGATTTACATTTAAACCAAACAGTTTATATTAAGTTTAACATAGAAGTAAGCATTTCGGATCGAAAGTGACCTACAATTACAAAATATTTCGTCGGAATTCATCCTCAAAATAATAGCAAACTCCGAATGAAAGGTTGTTCTACACAGAACTTAATATTTCGCTGAACTATACTTAACTTTACGTCCGGATTCAGGTACCGGATATACCCAGTTATCCACATTCATACAAATTGATGGAAGTAGAATTGCAGCATTCATAGAAATGAGACAACACTCCTTCAAGTACTAAATGACGTAGAAGTTAACAATTATAGGTAACCGTATGGACTTCAACAATGAGAAAAAACCTTATCGCATATAAGCTCTTAGAGAATCTGAAATGACAAATGTAAAATAATTCAAACGAGAAAACTTTTTATCTATAAAAACAAACATGATATACAACTACAACGACAACCACTGAATTACAGGCTCCTGACCTTGGGAAAAGCACATACAGAATTAAGATGTTTGCTGGCTCTTAACCCTCCCCTTAACCTCGGATAGTGGTATAACATGACAGCATCAGAACAAACGATAAATATTTGTTGAAAAGGGCTTATCTCACCAAGTCGGTACAAAGCATAAAAACCTTTCAAAAACACAAAAGACACAATTTACATTTCTGGGAGTATTTGCAGTTACTGAAAGCTAGATTATAAGTAATAACAACTAATATAAAATAAAGTATCTTAGATTAAATTTCTCTTGAAGAAAAGCAGAAAATACCAAAGGACATTCACTACTCATAGAAAGACAAACGAATAACGCTAGGGCAATAAGCGAAAACGACGAAAAACCGAACACATTCCCAAACCACAACATAAAAAACATAAGACTGAGCAAACGATCCCAACCAAAAAGACGGGGTTCAACTCAGGTACCAACAGAATCTTAGCAGTTTCTTGTTGATCATGCAAGTATAAATCCGGTGATTAGTCACAATCGTTGAAGATTGGACGGAATTGTTGTTATGACAAATGGAAAATATAAGAACATATATTCTACATGTCAATCAACCCATGATTGCGTAAAACTTTCGAAAGGATGACTACTGTTAGATATCAGTCGAATTAAGTGGCAGATTTAATTGTATGTGTCATGTGTCCTTTATGTCAAGTTTGGTGGAAAACATGAGTTTGAAATATTCTCCGAACTGTGAATCATTTAATCAGAGTACATCATTTATTTAGCGTTAAAAGATCATTTTAGTGTTGTTTTTTTAATTCTTCCCGAGTAACTCCTCCATAGAAAAACCGATTCTGTTTTGAGAAACACGTCCACAAAACGTATATAAATGTTGTCAATGAAAAAAATCAATCATCTTGATGTCAGTTTCAGAACATTTTTGTTGGAATCAGAGTGATTTTACAAGAATGATTTATCTTTTCCTAGAAAAAGTCATTTGTACCGGCGTCCGCCATTCGTTTTTATGAAACAAAGTCGAACTAGTTTTGTCAGTCTGTTTCTTAATTTTAAATAATGGGGTATAAATTGAGGCGACAATCGTTATCGATGATGATATCTCGTTTTTCGATTAAGAAAGGGGCATTTCACGGTAACAAACAAAAACTGAGGGAATCGTATGTAATCTTAAAGGAGCAATACTGGGTGCATCGACAGGGTAACGGTCTTCTGCTATGAATGCATCAGACCGCCATTCTAAGAGAGTCGAAAGATACAAAAGTGACATTCAAACTCATAAGTCAAAAAAACGGCATGGCTAAAAAGAAAACGAAAAACCGACACAAAAAAGTACACAAAACACAACATTGAAAACTAAAGACATGGCAACACGAACCCCGCCAAAAAATGAAGTTGAATTCAGGTGCTCCAGAAGGGTAAGAAGTTCCTGCTCTAAATGATTCTACACCCACAAAACCAAGATGGAATAATCCTTGTGTCAATCAAATCGTAAGATGCAAGCCGGAATCGTATATTATAGCTAGTTCAGTACATTGTCTCTCAACATCTTGAATATGGTCTCGAAATACAAATATGACCGTGATATGTTGTTATATCATGCAGCATAGTTTAGGTGCATATTGTCGTGAGTAATGTGACTCTTACAATTTGAATCTTTTTAACATATTTAACACATTACTGGTTTTAACTTTTATTTACTTGTGGATAATGAACATGAAAAGACATACATGAACGTGGCATACAATTTAATTGCATTTTATATTACAAGTATACATCAACTAGTACGTGGAAGATATACATACATAGACTTTTATATCAATGATAAATAAATGAAAATTGTTATATTTCAAACAATAAACGTACTATTTAACATAAACAAATATCAGCAATTTAATTGTTCTCCTATTCTTTTAAAATTATGTAATTTTTATTATTACTCAAAACTCATAGAAAGACAAGCGAAAACGACGAAAAGACGAACACATTCTCAAACCACAAAATAAAAAACATAAGACTGAGCAAACGATCCCAACCAAAAAGACGGGGTTCAACTCAGGTACCAACAGAATGTTAGCAGTTTCTTGTTGATCATGCAAGTATAAATCCGTTGATTAGTCACAATCGTTGAATATTGGACGGGATTGTTTTTATGACAAATGGAAAATATCAGTTGTTATCTGTAGAACATATATTCCATATGTCAACCAACCCATGATTGCGTATAACCTTCGAACGGATGACTAGTGTTAGATATTAATGAGATTAGTATTACATTTAATTGTATGTGTTATGTCAAGTTCGGTGGAAAAGATAAGTTCAAAATATTCTCCGAACTGTGAATCTGTTAATCAGAGTACATCATCTATTAAGCATTAAAAGTCATTTTAGTTTTTTTTTTAATTCTTCCCGAGAAAATCCTCCATAGAATTATCGATACTGTTTTGAGAAACACGTCGCCAAAATGTAAATATATGTTGTCAATAAAAAAAAAACACTCATCTTGATGTCAGTTTCAGAACATTTTTGTTGGAATCAGAGTGATTTTACAAGAATGATTTATCTTTTCCTAAAAAAAGTCATTTGTACCGGCGTCCGCCATTCGTTTTTATGAAACAAAGTCGAACTAGTTCTGTCAGTCTGTTTCTTAATTTTAAATAATGGGGTATAAATTGAGGCGACAATCGTTATCGATGATGATATCTCGTTTTTCGATTAAGAAAGGGGCATTTCACGGTAACAAACAAAAACTGAGGGAATCGTATGTAATCTTAAAGGAGCAATACTGGGTGCATCGACAGGGTAAGCGTCTTCTGCTATGAATGCATCAGACCGCCATTCTAAGAAAGTCGAAAGATACAAATGTGACATTCAAACTCATAAGTCAAAACTAGGG